CTACACAGAGAGAAAGGAACAAAATACCATATCTGGAAAACAATAGTTTACAAAAAAGATCACAACAAAAATTATGTACTTAAAACCAGATCCATTCCAAAAGTAACATTTTAACCATATCAACATAAATAATATGCTAGAGCTATATCTAATAACTCTTTAATGAAGGAAGAGGAAAAATACAGTGTTAGACCTGACTTAGTCACAGTCAAACTTCAGCTAATTGACTATTACCTCTCCATGATTTAATTGCAGCTCTATTCTACTTTGTCTGTCTTTCCAGAGCTGAAGCCCTCTAAGAATGACATGTAACTCTCGGTTTCATTTAAACCTGGAGGTATTGTTGCTTTAAGATTTTAGGTGTCAGCCACATCCCTGCCCTGTTGTCAGCTGGATTGGATAAACTGCAGAACATCTTTCATATTACAGAATACGTCCAGATGAATGAGACTCACTCCTGCTAGCTCCACCATGGCCTGAATAAATGACAATCTTCACAGACATAATGTGAAACTAGTAAATTAAGCAACACAGGTGAGATTTGCTGCTTCACAATAGTAAATTATGAATTGAAAAAATAATAGCACTTTACCAGAATTTACTGTTAGCTTCTAAAATAATATTTGTATACCTTCCAGACAATTAGTATGATATACAGTATCTTCATTGTACAGGTTTTCCCATGCATGTGTCTTACCGCTACCCACTGCTTCCATTGCCACTTTTTGGCTTTTAACATCTACTACACCAGGGGTGGGCAACTGTGGCCCTCCAGCTGTTGGTGAACTACAAGTCCCATCATACCTCTGCCTTAGGGAGTCATGCTTGTCAGTTTTGCAATGCCTCATTATTATTATTATACAGGATTTATATGGCGCCAACGGTTTGCTCGGCGCTGTACATTATAGTGGGAGACAATATAGAAACAATACAGTTCAATACAAGAGGGATTTGAGGGCCCTGCTCCTTGGAGCTTACAATCTAGGAGGGAGAGGTGAAATGGTACAATAGGTAATAACTGTGGGGGATGGAGTGGTTAAAAGAGTAGAGGATTCCAGTATTAGCAGAGGGCGGGATAGGCTTCCCTGAAGAGATAGGTTTTCAGTGATCGCCTAAAAGTAAGTAGAGTAGGTGATAGTCTGATAGATTGGGGTAGGGAGTTCCAGAGGATGGGTGACGCCCTGGAAAAGTCTTGGAGATGAGCATGGGAGGAGGAGATGAGGGAGCTAGAGAGTAGGAGGTCTTGCGAGGAGCGGAGAGTACGGTTTGGGTGATATTTAGAGATAAGATCGGTTAAGAAAATAGTGTTTTGAATTTTATCCGTTGGGAAACTGGGAGCCAGTGGAGGGATTGGCAGAGAGGGGTGGCAGATACAGAACGGTTAGTAAGGTGGATGAGTCTGGCAGCAGTGTTCATGATAGACTGGAGTGGGGATAGCCCCTGATGAGGTAGGCCAATGAGGAGGGAGTTACAATAGTCGAGGCATGATATGACAAGGGAGTGAATGAGTAGCTTAGTGGTTTTCGGGGTTAGGAACGGTCATATCTTGGAGAATGGGACTTGTCATTCTATAACAGCTGGAGGGCCACAGTTGCCCACTCCTGTACCACACCATGCTAAGTCCCCATCCCTTGAACTACACATGCCACATTATATTAGGAGGTAAGGACAAAGGCAACACAATAATACTGGACATGTGTGGGGGAAACAGCACAAACTGTGCATAGCATCTGGAAGTGGTAAGGATTAATTTCAATATGCTTTGCAGGCCACATCCATGGAGGGATTCCAAGGCAAATGACAAGCAGTTTTGGCATGTAGCTAAAAAATTATTTGTGCAACTGGTAAGGTAAAACATGGTTAGTAAAAAAAGCATTTGTCCACTAAAATTAAGGCTTTATTTCATGCAAGAAATGTTATTTAAAAAAATAGCTTATTAATGAAAAAAAACACTTATTATTTTTTTTCTAGCTATAGCATTATAAATAATAGGCTTGTTATTTCTTTTCTTTTAGTGATACTAGTAAAGTGTGCTTTCATTTACAATTTTTCTAGAAGACTGCAGGGTAAAAAATAAATAATTGAGCTCAGCCTAAATCACGGGTCATCAACAGCAAATATTACATTGCAGGAGATGCTTTCACAAAGAAACAGTTACACAATGTTTCCTGCTATAGGAGATGAAGAGAGGTGGAGTGGAGCTCACTTTATATGTCTATTTTATCCAATTTCTTTAAGAAATGCTGTGATTTACTGGCCCCCTGGATCGGTATCAACATTCCTTGATTACTTCTCTGCTTGGCTACCCTATGTTCCCTCTTTTGAAATTCCCACAATCATTCTTGGTGACTTCAACATCCCTGCTAATACTAACACTCTTGCTACTTTTAAACTTCTTAGTCTAACCTCCTCTTTTGACCTGAAGCAATGGATACATGCTTCTACTCACTCTGTTTGCAATACCCTTGACCTTGTATTCTCCAACCTATGCAATTCATGC